ATATACAACAATATTATATATACCTATATATTTAAAAAATTGTACCGATCATTGTATTCCTTGTGAAATTAAAAGACGATTTTTCTTTTGAAATTTTTCGATACGACGGTTAGTTATCGAGCAAATGACAACGAAAGATTGAAAACGTTATCCAATGAGAACGCGCCTTTTTCCTTAGCTGCAAGCGGTTACAAGTTGCAACTAACCGCTGCAGCCACGTACTTGCAGAGGTCTAATTCGTCGCCTGTTTTAATCTTTTTTTGTTAATTAATACATTATTTTAGATCCTATTGAAAAACTGAAAAGGATTTTTTTTCTTAGAATTTCGTAGCGAATTTAGCTTCAACCGAATATTTACGAAATTACTTCGTCTGCATCACTTTGCAACGATTTAGTGGATCGATAATTATGAAACATGTTGTTAATAAATAGGATAAATAAATGAAACATCTGTTTTATCTATCATATTGTGTTTATAATATACTCTATAAAAAGTTATCAGAGCTAAGCGCAATTTTGGTGAATGCGCCGGGTCGCTTTCCTTTTAATTTCTAAGGATTAAGTCCTGTTAATAATTTGGCAACCCTAAGGGGAACAAAACAATAATTAAATACGAAAAAGGGTATTTAAAGTTTTAAAATACATTAATTGATCCTGTTGTAAATCTCTATCGACTGATCTATTAATTTCTCTAAATTGTCGAAATTGTTTCTTAGACAATTTTCAACACGTGTTCATATCTTTTCCTTTCTGTTCACATAAAATAGCACATAAATTTCCCCCCTCTCTCTCTCTCTCTCACGCACTCTCTCACTAATCGTCTAATAGGAGAATAAAATCGTACAGAGATGATAGATAATTGCATATTTTGGAGAGAAAAAAAACACTTGATTCGAGGCATTTGATGTCTAGACTTCTAGACGTCTATTTCGGGTTTTTACAGAAATCGGGGGTGTACATGGACGAATTCAATCAAATTCAATTTTTGGTTTTCCTTAACGACGACCTAATTCAATCCATTTCATTAAAATTGTCAGAAAAATAAATATGTGTTAAGTGTGTCGGTACGAAAAGTAGATAGTATTGATGTCTGAAGCTTTAACAGAAAGAATTTCTGTTGTAAGCCGGAAATAATTTTGTACTGTAGGTTACAGTGTGGCCTTAATTTATATTAATAACAGGAAGGGCTCAATAATTTCGCTGTTTAAAAATTTGCGTTGGTATGAGACTGATGCGAAACATGGACGATGGGCGAAAAAAGACTGATGAGGATACCGTTATTAGAAAGAATAGGAGAACGGAGGACTCTATGGAAGTCAATAAGAAAAAGGCGAGATAGGTTGGTAGGACAACTCAGGCATGAAGGTCTAGTCAGAGACATATTAAGGGCAGAAACGGGAGTTAGGAGGGGTAGAGGTAGACCTAGATTAGATTACTGTTCACAAATATCGGGTTGTTCGGAAAGTCATTTCGTTTTTTCCCGACAGAGAATTTAATTGTATTCTTTTGCACCCAACTTCACATTTAAGCCGTATAATTTTTATATGCTTTGAGAGCTCATATAGCAAGGCTTGTGTGTGAAAAATTCCAATTAATTCTACGCAGTAGTTTTTGGTTGGTGCCCTTTTAAATATGGAGAACGATAAGCAGCATTTTCGACATATCTTACTGTTTTACTACAGAAAGGGTAAAAAATGCTGTTCAAACCAGAAAGAAATTGACTGATGTGTATGGAGAAGGTGTGTTGACAGTACGCCAGTGCCAGAACTGGTTCGCTAAATTTCGATCCGGCAATTTTGATGTCGAAGATGCACCACGTTCGGGAAGGCCGGTTGAAGCTGATAAAGACGCGATAAAGGCATTAGTTGATGTGAACCGGCGAATAACAACACGTGAGATCGGATTGAGGTTAAATTTATCAAATTCAACAGTTTATGACCACTTGAAAGGCCTGGGATTATCCTCGAAGCTCGATGTATGGGTTCCCCATGTTCTCACAGAGAGAAATCTGTGTCGCCGCATTGACGTCTGCGATTCGCTTCTCAAACGTCACGAAAATGATCCGTTTTTGAAGCGCATCATCACTGGGGACGAAAAATGGGTTGTATACAACAACGTCAAACGCAAGAGGTCATGGAGCAAAAAAGATGAACCGGCTCAAACCATTTCCAAAGCCGATATTCACCAAAAAAAGGTGATGCTGTCTGTTTGGTGGGATTTTAAAGGAATCGTTTTTTTTGAGCTTTTACCGGATAACACAACGATTAATTCGGAAGTCTACTGTCATCAGCTGGACAAACTGAATGATGCACTTCAACAGAAAAGGTCAGAACTAATCAACAGGAAAGGTGTAGTGTTTCACCAAGACAACGCGAGACCTCACACAAGTTTGGTCACTCGCCAAAAGCTTTTACAGCTTGAATGGGATACAATGCTACACCCACCATATTCTCCAGACCTGGCACCATCGGATTATTATTTGTTCCGGTCACTCCAAAATTTTTTAGACGGTAAAACCTTCACCTCAAATGAGGAGGTCAAAAACCTCCTCGATCAGTTTTTTGCCAGCAAAGACCAAAAATTTTATGAGCGTGGAATTATGCTACTACCAGAAAGATGGCAAAAGGTGTTGGACCAGAACGGTCAATATATAATTTAATAAAGTATTTGTTTATTATACGAAAACTGTCTTTCATTTCCACAAAAAAAAACGAAATGACTTTCCGAACAACCCTATAGGTTGGTAGGACAACTCAGGCATGAAGGTCTAGTAAGAGACATATTAGGGGCAGAAACGGGAGTTAGGAGGAGAAGAGGTAGACCTAGATTAGATTACTGTTCACAAATAGTTAAGGATGTCGGGAAATGCAAAAGATTAGCTCAGGATAGGAAGGAGTGAAGGTGAGAATCCAAGCAGTTTTAGAACTGAAGGCCTTATGATGATTATGAGACTGATCAATACTTAGTCGTTAATTGTAATACAGAGGAAAGCCATTAGAAATTAAAAGGAAGACTCACCCCTAATTACCACAAAAAACTTTATTTGAGCGGACACGTGTTTCGCCCACTTCATACGTGGGCACTATCAATGCGAGACTACGTATGAAGTGGGCGAAACACGTAGGGGTGAGTCTTCCTTTTAATTTTTAATTAATATTTACCACAGTCTCCTTTTTCTACTTAGAGGAAAGCCAAATACGTAATAAATAATCCACTCATGATCACCATTATCATCATCATAGGGTCGTCAGTCCTAAGACTGGTTGCAATAGTAATCTAACCGAGGTCTACCTCTACCCTTCTGCTTGTGCTTCTATCCTATCCTACTCACCGAATGATTACGAAAAATTTTACTTAGGTCCTAATCGCCTCGTCTAACTTCCTTTTCCTTTTACTTTCTTACGATGTTGCCCAGATTCTATAACTACCTGTTGCACTTGCACCACTTTTATATCCTTTTATCTCACCCTTACATTATTTCAATTAATATCTACACCCTCATAACTGACATGGGCTCGCTTATTTCCCTGTTTCTACCACAACTGGATTGAACATAAAAGTTCATCCGCCCTTCTATATCTATACGATTGCAGTTAAGATTTTTGAAGCTTGATGAAAAATTAAGTTAATTATGAAATTTAATACAATTTAATGTAGCAAATTCAAGTCGACAAATATTGGGAAATTTACGGGTACAAATGTGGAAAGGGTCCGTTTTCAGCCTGCCTTGAACTTTTTTTTATTCCGTTTTGATTACTTAGCCTGACTGACTGACAGCCTTGAGCTAAAATAATTCGAAGTGGTCTGTATTCTGTCGAAACTGCCAGACGCGGATCGCGATTTCGATCTTTTTGGATCTCATCAGCGCGTCGCAGGCAGCTCCGACAGAACACAGACCAACTTTTACCTGTTGTCTTAACGCCTTGAGCTAGTAGAGAAGCATATTAAAAGCAGAAACAAGAGTAAAAAAACGTACAGACAGAACGACGAGTGAACCTGTAACGGTTCTGTTTTTCATTCGAACGTACGGAACCCTAAAAAAGTGCAAAAGAAAACCCAGATTAGATTACTATTCGCGATTAGGTAATTAATGTGCGGTGCTACCTACAGTTTTCGGAAAATGAAAGATATGGTACAGGATACGAAGAAGTATGAGGTACGGGTCCGACCAATCTAGGGATTGGAACCTTTGTAGTGATGATGATGACGATGATGAATTAATTTTTATCACCAAAAAAATTGAAGATCAGTCTTTACGAATGGTTTCTATCGATCGAAAAATCGATATATTAATCATTTAAAACACGCGACACCCCTTCATACCTAAATAATGTTATGTATTTGAATTCGGATCTTTCCTTTTCAATCCAACTACTTGCGCACCATTGAAAAGCCAAAGTCAAATTGCATAATTCGTAAGTGAGTGATAAATAATAAAAATAAAATAACAACAGCTACGTTCCAAGTGCACAATAAACAAATTAGGTCCAATAAAGAGTCCAATCCACTTGACGTGACCCTGACGCCGTCAGGGAGCAACCACCTTATGAACAAACCGAAATGACACACTACCCTGGTCCGCTACAAGGTAGTCGCATCGTCCAATCGTATTCTACCAGGCATGTTCAATAAATGATACTGAGTTAGCAATAAAGAAGTATTATTACGGTTGGATTCAAAATAAAATATGGGAAAACGAAGCAGATAATATGCAGAAATTCTAGATAAAACTTAGTTATAAATAAAACAAAATAATCAGAGTCAGATTAGAGAATTATGCAAGTCTGTGTTAATAACTCGATTGCTAGACCCTACCAAAGGGTTTGAAATTATTAACTTATTATGAAGACTTTTGGGAAAATCATTACGTTACCAATTGGACAAGAAAACAATAATAAAAAGAAATACCTAAAAATCGCACTTTTTCTGTATATTTGGGCCCCTTTTTGGGCACTGAAACGACTAGTTATTTGTTAATTATTATTTTAGATAACACTTACCACAAAAGTCTGCATCTTCTTCGACAGCTAGGCGCAAAAGTATCTGGAATGAAAAATAATATACTTAGCATATTTTATTTGTGTATTGTACTATATATACTGATTAAGTAGGATTTTGAAATATAGAAAGGATAAAAGTATATGGAAATAAGAAATGCTTATAATCGTTTTTCAACTGTTACATTTAGGATGAAATAAATAAGTTTGAAGTTTCTTTCGGACAGACAGTTTCCCTAATAATGTTAGCCGTTCTCCAAAACAGTTTATAATAGTAAAGATATCGTAGTGAGTTCAGTTTTCCCACGGGGTACAGTTCAAGTAAAATTCTGAAAACTGCGTTAGTAATATGTCACAGCAACATTAGTTATAGAAAAAAACATATTTTGGCGAATGTGATATCTCTAGGATATACATTACAAAACCATATTTTTGGGCACATTAAAAGATGTTGTAGCCACATTTTGACGCCCCTCAGATGGTCGACTAATCCAAGGAAACACTAAATGGCTACCACAGGAAATACGTCATCTTTTGCATGCGGTGCAATAGACAGTGATTGACTATGATTGATTGATCCACAAAGAATGTTATATATAAAAGAAATTATGAGTGCTGTCAACGCAGGGAAAAGTAGTATTACGTAGTTAGTATCAGCAATTTCTTATGCTGAAGTGTACGATGTGTTGCATACCTATTTACAAACAACTTTAAATTTAATTTTTCAAAATATTTTTAAAACAAATTGTTCACAAAAGTGAATTTCGACCACTCGAAGCAATGGTTTCAAACCTTTTTGAGCTCACAGTGAATGATAGGGGGGGAAGAACCTGTTTTTTAATAATGAAAATAGCATTTTTCAGGCATCAACCCCCGTTTCCACACGGTTCAGCAGAGTCTATGGGCAAGTTCTCTCATGGAGGTCTATGTATAACCATAAAAAACTCGATATTAACCCTCCACCCCTACATATGTTTCAGCAGAATATTCTACTAGATATCCCTTGCAGAGCCATATAATTTATTCAGTTCCCTCTTCAACAACAAGAAAAAACTTTTGACGGCGACTGTACACGGCGAAGACGGATCTGCGTCCGCGAAGGACGACTCTAATAATCGCGGTGCATAGACCACGAGGAGAGGAGGCAGAACGTTTTGTTTTTGGCATTGACCTTGACAGAACCCTGACCATGTCAACTTGGCTTGTCTAGCCTAGTAACTTAATAGTGTTTGTTTACGCATACTGTCGAGGACGACCAACTACATAACTAACTGGCTACGGTACATTTGCACATACATAAACTATTACTCCGTAGTGTTATATACTCATGTCCCTTAATTATCTACCACAATTCCTGTCGGTTATTTTATTCAGTATGTAAGAACGAATGTAATAAATAAATTCGTGCACGATCTCTTAATTTATTAATTAAGAACTTTACATTCTGAAATTAAAGTTGAGGATTTAAGACACATTTTGCTATCGGCTAGTTTTCAAGGATCCACAACGAATGCAGTGATGGATCGAGGAATAAACATTAAATTTATTAGGTAGGTTAGGATGGGTTCACTTACTTTATTTCTTCAAAAAATGCAAACTTTTCAAAACCAAACAAGACAAACCAACATTACTCAAATTTTGAGAATGAGACAGTTCAAAATCTTGAAATATTTAGGCAATTTGGAAGCCATGTTCTAATTTAGCGGTAAAAATAAAACTGAAAGAACTTATTCTCAAAGTTATTATTTTTTTTATTGACTTCATATGATATTAGTCTCAAAAAAGTCAACAATTACACCCCTAGATTTTTGATTTTAAGATGCTTATGGTAGGGATGAGACCCTGAGTTTATCTTCGCATTTTCATAAAACTAGAACAACCCACATCCTTAATTATTTGCGAACAGAAATCTAATCTAGGTTTACCTATACCCCTCGCGTTTCTGCCTCTAATAAGTCTCTGCCTAGACCTTCACGCCTCACAAGGTGTCCTACCAACCTATCTCGCCTATTGACTTCCGTAGAGTTCTCTATTCTTCTATTCTTTCTATTACCTCTTCATTTCTAACCTTCTCTATCCACGCTAGACTTCTCTGACTTCCTAGATACCTAAAATCGGCTACTTCTGCTAATTTTTCGTCTCCTATCTTTATATTCGCTCTTTCTCTACTTCTTCTTCCCTTGTATACCAGTATTTTTGTTTTACTTTTATTTATTTTCATACAATACCGCTTCCATTTTATTTAAAGCTATCTGTAACTCCTCCTTGCAAATCTAAGCATACTAATCTTTTGCCCCTGTATATCTACCCCTACAGGTGTACTTTTTAGGCAAATATAAACTTAAATATTTCGCTGATTACAACCTATTAAAAATGTTAATTGAGTACTTCAATACATTAAATCAGTTACATCCATCCATGATGTGTAGTGTTATTTATGAACGAAGTATATCAACGCAGTGAGATTTAAATAAAAAAAGTTACACAATAATATATCTTAACAAAAAAAAACAACAATGCATACTTACTACGTAAAAATAGCTAATATGGTTCATGGCAAATATAACGAATAATCTAGTAGTTGGTTTCTTTTCTTTTGTTTTTGTTTAATTGCTTACTTTTGCATTAATTTGACGACAAATGATTAAAGGAATATTACAATTGAAAGTCAATTACTACATAAATTTATATATTTAAATGTTGATAATTATATGATGCCAGGAATGAACCAGAACAAAAAAAAAAGAAAATAAAAGGGGTGTAGCAAGAATTCTACCGTATATAGACATTTAAATTATCAAATTGTGTTTTCATAATTTTCTTGTTATAGTGTACTATTACACTGTCGTTCTATTGTATAGGTTTCATTAAAGTTTTTCAAGCTTTCAACCCATTTTTCCAGCTATTACGAATGCAATGCCTTAATCTTATTTCTAAAAATTGACAAATGGACTTGTTATTTCTAAACCCAGACATATTATGGTAAATACCGCACAGTTTGAATATTTTCTTTCTGTTGTCCTTAATACCTTCGTCTATAATCACAAAGTACTTACTTGGTATTTGTAAAATTATATCCCACGTATGTACCAAGAAGTTATGCTATTTTTAACTTCTTATACACATAATATTTCTATGCCCATAAGTGGAAGACAACATCTTCAGAAATAACTGAATAGTTTGGACATAAGAACGTTCTAGAACGCGTTAAAACAGCAACCAAAGTCTTCCCGATCAATATTAAAATCTTTAAGTTGCTGCACCAACGGGCTGTTTGTGTGCCTTCAGTTTTAAATCCTACGGTCGATCTTAACACAATCACTAACTTAATAATTTAACATTATTCTTTCCCTTTCCACGATAGTTCGGAAGAAGTTGATGTGATGGTCAAGTGGTGGCTGGAAGTTACTTTGATACGAGTTTCACTGTGTGTCACAAATTTGAAATAGGCCAATCGTTTTGTTTTTAGTTGGCGAATAATTCTTGTTAATAAAATGTAAAAAACTTAACTTACTGTGTTCTAAGTGATAGAATTTTGGTGTTCTTTACCTGACCTTCTTGTTTGGCTTACATAATCCCAATTTTGTGTTGTATTCGTAAAGGATTTACCTTAGGAAGGCCGATAAGGAACGATGGATTTCGTGTGGAAATCGTGCATAGATTTAGATAGTTTAAAAAGGAGTTGGGGCGATATTTTCTGCCTCATTGCACTATAGATGATTTCTCTGCTTTAATTTTTTGGATTCACTAACCTAGCCAAGGTCGACATATTGTTAGATATGCAGTTTTACGGCTTTCTCATGGCTGCCCGCGGAAAGACATTGACTTCGATGCAATCTAACAGGACCGGACTTTTACGCAGGACGAGCTGACAAAAGAAAAACTCAACAAACATATCTATCTCTGTACTTACATGACAACCGCATTCTTATCTAATTTATTGCAAGCACGTCTGCCAATGAAGTAATTCTAAGGTACTAATTTACAATTGTATAATTAATATAATAATTAAATTCCATGTCATCATTATTATCCTGATTGTTAACGTACAAAAACAAGGTTCATAACGAATGAAACCGAAAAGATTAATATAAAAAAAAAATATAGGGATGTCCAGGATTCTATTTTAATGAGAAGTCCAGCCAAAAGTCACTATTTTAATTTTTTTTAGAATCGACTACATTTTTTGTAGTGTTAGGATAGTATCAGGCAAGATACTAAAAATACTAGATACAAAATATGCTTCTTATTGGTAACTTCTTATTTTAAAGGTTTAAAATATTTTTAGAAAAAAAAAATGATGTCGGGGTCCCAAGACGAAACGAAAAAATGAATAAAGAAGAAAACATTTAACATTCAATGATAAACAGAAGAAAATCAAAAACGATTAGTCAATTCTTACATTTGCTTTAAAAAAATTGACATCAATTTAGTTGCTTAAGTGGCGTTCGTTGCAATTTAAATTAATTAAAAAAAAAACCATTGTGCACTTTATGCACATTGCAATCAAGTGAGCGAATCGTCTGTGCCCTGACCCAAATATTGTTTTTGGCTTTTTGATTTTTAGAACGCTTTTGGGCAAATATACTTATGTATAACAAAGGCCCACCCAGCGATGACAGTTTCTGGAAAAAGGACATGAAGGCGGAGGGGTGAAGGGGGGGGGGATATCTGCGACCACTGCACTGCGAACCGAGGACCAACTTTGTGTAATGCGTTAGCTGCAGGATATTCGTTATAAATTAAGTCGAATGGACGAATTGCACTTTTAGAGGAACTTATATATTGTTTAAACAAAAATAAATAATTAAGGTAAATAGGCAAATATATACTTTGGTAAAGGTCTAGATGATGGCCCCCACCCCCAAAGGGGGTGGGAGTGGGTGGCTTCGAAAGAGGAGGTCTCCCCCACCACTGTACCATAAAAAGCTCGTGGCGGTCTTACCCCNAACTTATATATTGTTTAAACAAAAATAAATAATTAAGGTAAATAGGCAAATATATACTTTGGTAAAGGTCTAGATGATGGCCCCCACCCCCAAAGGG